CTGAAACAGCGCTCTAAGCATATTCCAGCTCTCCTACCAGTGGCAAATGAGGATCCACAAGTGGCTGAGATTGTGGCACCTGGGTGGTGGCCTCAAAAGAGCAGAAATGACCACAAACTCTACCAAGCAGCATCAACAGGAATCAGGCTCAATGCTATCTGCAATGAGACCACTGAAGACAACTGGGATGGCATTATTAGAGACACGATGCTGTGTGCATACCACTTCAGCAGCCGCCAAGATGTGTTCAAGGGTACATTTCATTGTGCTTGTACATTGTTTCTCAAGCAGTTTGTAGCCATTGATTGATGACATACGCAATGTAGGCAACACAACAATGTATTGTAGGTTTGCCAAAGTCACTTCACCTGAAGCCAAAAATCACAAACAAAACATTGCTAATCGATTCAAAGAAGACAAGATGAGCATCGCCAGACAAGTGGGATGGACTTTTTGTGATCTTTGGGGAGGGCTGGATTGGATACACCCCAGCTCGCACACTTAAGCCACAGCAGCATGTTTAGATACAAATCCAAGTTCTTAGTTGCTGGAGAACGTTTGATCAGCCAGTCCATCTGACAAGATGTTTGCTATATGCATAACGATCAAAGTACGATGATACACACCAGGTGGGTAATATGTGTCTGCATACTTTGTGGGCCAATAACCCCATGGTCAATGTGACAGTCAACACTTGTGGAGTGACTCTGGCTTGGGCCAATGTGCAGTTTGCATGTTTGCACACTTATGTTGGAATTTGGGGTGCCCAGCATGTAAGACAATTCTAAAGTGCACAAGAGCCCCTCTTTGTGGCAATTAGTACAGATATCCCCACAAACAATTGGAGTTGGCTTGATTACATGCCTTGATGGTACAATAAATGCACCTCCGATACTGTAATGGTCTTGGTGATATCGCCATCATGTCAGCATTTTAAGCGGTTTCACTCTTAACACATCATCAAGTGTGGGTAATGCAAATCACCTTACACCTGCCCATAGCATGTACAGCATCTTCACACCGGTAAACGTGTCAGCCTTAGGGCCACATCGTCCAACATGGGCCTGCCCATGGTTCTGTAACCATAGTGGGTGCTGATGGCAAAAACGATAACATTGTCATAACAACAGCCACACCTGACATTCATTGGTACATTCATTGTGTGGCTGACTGGAAGGGTATCATTCCATTGCAGGAGACAGTGGGGGGCCCTTGCTGGGAAATTACGCATCAGGGGGAAAAGTTTCAGCGGGTAGCCCTTCCTTCGACGTCGTGTTTGGCATTACATCATTTGGCGAGGACACTGTGCAGAAGCCATCCGTATTCACAAGAACTGCCAGTTTTAGAAAATGGATTGATAAGATATTGAAAGTGAGTATATGTGGCCTGTTTTGGTTGGAAGCTTAATCAACACACTTGCTGGTCTGGAAACCAAAGATACACAAGTCCATTGTGAGACAGTGCAATACGGTAGTACTTCCTTTCCAGGTTCGGACAGTGTCTTTTATGTAGCTAAAGGCATGCTGCATTCTCATCCACTACTTGTCTTTCAACAGCTTCTGTCCAAAAAAACACTTTGTGATGATTCAAATTTCAAGCTCATTACCATGAACAAGGCAGAAAAATTGCGCAGGGAAGTGCAAAAGATTGCCCCATCCACAAAAGTAAATTCAACAGGTCAAGTATAATCAAATGGAACATTACCATCCAATTCACTATGATTGCAATATTTCTGAACGTTTATTCTCTCCATAATTTCTTCCAAATAGGTTTCCTATGTTCAGGTCAGACCTGAGACGTTACAATGAAGGACAGCTGAGCAATCAGCAGTGTGTGGAGTTCGCACATGCCAAAATGACAATTGATAGAGGCGCGGAGTGCATGCTGTGGCTCAAAGAGACATTGTAAAGCTGATATTAACATTTTTTCTGCTTTTGAAGTCTTTGTAATCTTCTAATGCAATTTCTTCAGCTTTGATTGTTTAATTAGATTCTAATTTCAAAAACTATTTATTCCACGTTGAGGGAGGGCCAGGATGGCATTCAACTTTCCGTATTTCACTGCTTTGGTTGGCCATTTGGTGGGCATTACCTTCATTTCTTCATTGTCGCACTTTCAGTGTGAAGTTTTCCGTGTGCTAGGCATGTCCCATATCACAAATACGTATTTGTTATCAGTGTACTGGTCAATCCAAATTCTCAACTACAAAATAGTTTTGTACCTTTAAGGTGCTACTGAACTGTACGTAATTGCCGAGCACCACAGCGACGTGACTACTATCACAGCCTGTACTGCCACATCAGATGGCAGCTTGTGTGACAGGGAGGTGCGCCAGGTTCTCTTGTCACAACACCCTACCGCTATGTGATCATGACTGCTGCTTCTGGCATCCCAGATAGGGGATTAGCTTATTATCTTGTATCCCAATATTTGATCTTGTGACTGCTTTAGAAGGAGATAACTGCTCACAATAGCAGTCACCTCTTATACAATGAGGTGCCTTCTCAAGTTGGAGTACCATGGTACTCTGATAATGCATGTGCATTTTAATATGAGACTTTTGGAGTGGTTTCTAATGTGCAACGTCACATGATTTTTACAGGCACAGGATGCACAGGAGCCCCCACGGGGGCGATTTCCCTGGCTGGTTAGTGTACGGAACCACATGGGCGCACACGTTTGCGGAGGCATCCTCATTCACCACAGCTCAGTGTTGACGGCTGCGCATTGTCTCCATGCTGAATACAAGCCAGTGGTGCACATTGGCGCTCATAGAATCAACGACACAGAAATGGACGGCGCCAAGGTATGGCATCCTATCATTGGGCATCACTGCTCACAGACATTGCTGAGCTCAGTGGTGGTCTGATTCGGATTGTGGTATATCACTTCATTTGTTGATGCGCCATGCAATCATTAGGCAGCAATTAGTTTGCATTTGAGATGCATCTGTGGCCCTCTGTTGTGACATATCACAAGCTGCTGCTGACTCGGCTTAGATTGCCATTGTAGTGAGACGGTGCTCCATAAACAAATTAATTGAGAGCAATCCCCTCACACCTGACGAGGTGTTCTTGGACTGGATAGCAGCGTAGTATCCAGTGGCAAACCTGTTGCAAGTGCCGGCAATCATCCAGCAAAGCAGGAAGCTCCCATTTCAATTGATTATTGGAAAAGCCCGTGATGTTACTGGGATGGAGACTGGGCTTTGACTTCAGGCCATGTCTAACATTAAAAGTCACCTACTCTGCCAATAACAGTTCCAGGTCGCCAATGCTGCCGTTAGACTGAGTGTATAATATTCAAGGTTATGGGCGTGCAGGAAATTTCGCATGCATGGAATGGACTCTGCTAATCATTACATTTATATTTTCATATTTGTATTCAAGGTTTTGTAAGGAAGTGTAAATAATATGCAGGTGCCTATAATTATGCATAAGGCCAAGTCCTAAACTGATGCACGAAATTAGTGTTGAAACACCATGGAACTTGATTTACAGCCATAACTGCAGCCGCCCATGCATGCAACTGTGTTCTTGTTTTGGTGCCCCACCCCACCCCACCCACCACCCTCAAAACCCCACCCACCCACACCCACACCCACCCACATATCACCACCATCATCCCACTATCCCTTTTAAGAGGGTCTTACCCTCCCTTTCTAAGGAGGTAAGATTTTGCGACCTTGCTATGTTGCCCTCTCCCAAGAGCTTGCATTTCACTAATGACTTATTACCTTGCTTTCACCTTGATGTCCTTGTCAGCAGTTCCATTTCCTGTGAAGAATTCTTTGCCAAGCTCAGATTTGCCAAAAATTTGCCCTCTTGGCCGAAACCCTCCAGAGCTAATCGAGCGAGAGTCAACATTTTGCCACAACACGTCAGTCTGGTCCTGACAGCATTGCTTTTGCGCTGTGAATTCTTCAAAGGTTATGAGAGCGCATTCAACAATAGTACATCCACTCTACGAGGTTGGCAGGCTGGAACATGGCCATGACTTGGCAATCTTGAGTCTGCCAGAGCCTGTTCACAATGTGCCAACGCCAATGCTCCCAGAATCGCATGATCAATTCTCCCCGAATACAATGGTGGTAACTTTGGGATGGGGAGCGGCATGTTCTGGCAAATTTCTACCATCGGACGCGCTGAGACTGAGTAGCAGGACGCGTGTACTCAGTAATGATTGCAGCGCCGGAGGAAACTGCAGCCAAGGGTGCCGATGGAAGAAGGACTTGTTTCTGTGCCTGGGAGGGGACAGTGCTTATCCAGGTGATCCTTTGCCAGTTGGAGCTTGTACATTTTGTGGCCTTAGTTGAGTTTCAATTTTCTTTTTGTGCTATCATCTGCCATCTTTAGGGACAGCGATAGGGACACCAAAGGGCCCAAAAGGACTGGTCAAAGAACGAAGAGCACAAAGGGTTGTGCCTGTTGTGCTGCAATTTGTTCAGTTGCCTAGTTGAACTTCCTACTGGAAGAGATCAAACAGGGATATCCAATACCTGGTGAAAAGCTTGTGACAAGCATGGCATGATCTGAGGGCTCGGAGTGATTATGAGTTAAAAAGTGGAGGAAAACATGGAAAAACATGGGAGTATTCCATGGTGGCATTGAAGTATTAACAGTGAATGGGGGTCTGCGGAAATGAGGGGCGTGCGCACTGATTCAAGTCGTAATGGCGTGCATGTATGATGAGCAACTGACATCTATTTGTGTCTTTTCAACAAATACTGCAGAATAAAGTACTGGAAGGAAAGTGAACATAATATTCCCGTTGTGTTTTCTCACCCTATGCTTTTCGCTGATGGAAAGCACCAGCAGGTATGCCCACATGAGCTGGAGAGACAAATCCTACGGATGTGCTATTGTGGTGAGACGTTACCCTTTGGGTCCAAAACATGTTTTAACATGGGAAAATGCAATGATTCACGGTTTTGCCACAGTCTGATACATGAAATACAGGTGACGTTTAATGTAATATTTGTGTCTTTGAGTTGCTTTCAGGTGACTCGGGGGGGCCTGCTCTCATCCCAGACGTGCTCCATGGTTCTTACGAATGGGGACGACCTGCTTTGGACCTCATCGTTGGGGTCACTTCTGGAGGCAATGGCCTACGCGACGATGAGAAGATGGAGAGTGTCTACACACGTGTGAGCGAACTTCAAAGTTGGGTATTGTCAGTGATTGAGGTGAGCTGTCAAATAATACGTAGCACAAAGCCAAACTCACAAAAACGGCGAAAATGACATGATTGTATTCCAGATTCGCGATTGCCAGCAAGTCGACAATGTGTTTGCATGAAGGGAACTGTGAAATGGCCAGTTTGTCGGTGTTTCGTTGCTACTGGATGCCCCAATATCTGCATGGAGCATCTTGCAATAAAGTGAATATTTCCTTGTGGCTCTTTTGGAGTGCTTTGTTGTAGTGGCCTATTTCCGGCTGGTGGCAGTGGGTCTATTTGCGGTGAAGTCTGACAGTTTGTGCATATGCTTGCAAATGTATATTATGTTAAGCAAATGTTTCTGTTTATGGCAGGTGGTACTGTTGGAAGGACTTTAATTGTCCTCTTGGTCACACAGGAGGGCATACAGTTGGCTGCGCCAAGCTCATACTGTGGAACACTGTTTTTCGTAACTTATTGTGACTTTTATGATGGAAATTGGTGACCCAGTCTGTTCTAAAAATTCGAGATGGATGGGTTGGGCATTGTCATTGTTCTATGGCTGAGAATTGTGTTCTGTGTCTTGCAGCATATTGAAAGCGCACAGCGCTCCCGCTCCCGCCTGACTTCAGCTCTTTTGCCAATGCCGGTATGTGTGTTCCCACTCCGAATGCTGTATGTCTGGAAAATAATACAGTTTCTCTGTCTTAAATCAGTTGGCGATTATGAAAAAGAGGGGTACGGAAAATCGAAGCTTTGAAAAAAGAAACCGATGGCACAAATTAACCCGGCGGAATTTAAAACAATCACCCCTCAATCAAGCCAGGCCTGCCCACAGTATAGGCCAAAGCACAGCGGCAGCGCATAAGGCACCGACAGGCCCACTGCCACGCTGGCCTTCAAGTTAGGCCCTTGAGGACCGCACCACACCCCGCGAAGCCAGACACAGGCCTCCCCGGCCCAGGGTAAAATTTCGACGCGGGCGATTGGGGTGTCTTGCTCTTGGCGCCGTGCGAGGTTTGCCAACGTCCACAGCAGAGTGGGCGTTGGGGCAGGAGCCAGGCGACTTGAGGTCGTGAGCGTGGCCAGGTCAAAAGGTGAAAGCTCCAAACAATGACAAACCACACTTGAACGCGCTGAAAGCTTTCCACGTGCACGCTATAACTCAAGGAACAACGTGGCTGTCACAAGCACGGGGCAGAGTGGTGCAGTGCGACACAGTGAAATGGCAGGCAGCAGTGTAGTGCAGCACGGCGTGCAGCTCTTCTGCCTTAGTGACGGGAGGTGCCACCATCGTCGGCCCAAATCCAGCCAATCTTGGTATCCGCGTCTGCAACTCAAGCCGCCTGAGGGGTTTGGCCAGTGGCGACGTGCAGGGTGATGCAAGGTGCGGGAGCTGCAGCCATGGGTGCCGATGGCCCAGAACGGCACGCGAACACTTGCGGCCATGTATAAAAATGACAAAGCAAAAAGCGATGCAGGCCTTAGGCTAGGCCACAATGACTTCTTTGCACACCACTGAAAGACCATGCACTAGACGCTGTGACGTGGTGCAAGGTCGTTGGCTTCGTAGGTCACTAGAAAAATGCCCACTATTGGCTGCAGCACGGCGGCGAGCCGGTCAGTGGGAGGGACAACGCTCTGTTTTGCACTTCCAGGGCCAGCCGTCTCAAGAGTGCCGGGTAGAGGCCGGTGCTGGACTGCGAGCGCCACAAGCACCATAAACATAACATCACAAGTTGCAGGAGTGGGAGCCCGATCGGCCCCTACGATCCCACCGCTTCTACCCCTCGTGACCACTGATCGTGGCCGCTCGCAGATGCCTAGATCGGCACTCGCGAATGGCAACAATCGAAGGCCGCGAGGGGCAGTTTCGAAGGGTCAGTTGGACAACGCCCAGCGCCTAAAGTGCGGGTGAGAATGACGAACACGTCGCCACAAAGCGACGGGACTGGGAGACCAGTCACCGCCTCCTATTCCCACCGCTATTCTGCCCTCCTTGGCACCTACTATGTCAACCTGCGGACACCTAGATTGGCATCAGCAGGTCGCAACAATCGATACCCGCGAAGGCCAGTTGGAGATCGGTCAGTTGGAGATTGCGCGGCGCACAGGGCGTAGGATAAAGTGCCAACCGCGTGGCCACAAAGCGACGGGAATGGGAGGCCGATTGTGGCCTCCTACTCCAGCCACTTTCACCCCTCGCGGCCACCAATTGTGGTCATCCATGGGCGGCCACCTTGGCACTTGTGCCTGGCAACAGTCGGTGGCCACGAGCGGTGATTCTACCAAGCGACAAGAATCCGTGCAACACGCAGCACCACGGCGCAAATTCCAGAGCACTACCACAAAGCGTCGGGAGTGGGAGCCCAATCGCCGCCTCTCACTCCCTTGTTACAGGTTGTTGCCTCAATTCGCCAATTTTGGCCGCGGCAGCCAACGACAAAGAAGCACCAATTGTGCAGCCAAGGCTGGCCATTTCGGCACCTTTTGGCTTTCCTTTTGGGCAAGCGAACGCGCCAAGCGCTGGCGACAGTTGGCGCTGACGATTGCCTTCCTTTGGGGATCGCCCGGCAGCGGCGATTGCCTGCCATGGCGATGGTCAAGCAGGGTTCAGCCTCCGGTCTATCACAGGGCAGCCAAGGCGCTGGTAGCTAGCGCTTGGGTTGCCCTGCCTTGGGCTTCTCCTCCGGGCCTCCCAGCCCCCACACCTCCTTGCCCACGATAATCTTGGTCGCCCGTCTGACAGACCGGTGCTGATGATACAACAACAGGAGGGAAAAAGATAGAGGTTTATTGCCACGTGTGATTAGGGGTGAAAGGAAGGCATAAGGGAAAAGGGTGCAATTAAAAAAGGGAATATGGGAGTCTAGTGGGAAGGTTAGGGAGGTACGGGTGGTGACGCGGGAGTAAGAGGGAATGGGGTAGTGAAAGGGTAGGGGCCCTAGGAACGCCGGCGGGCGGACGGGTCCAGGAAAGGTGGCATAGCGGTAGGATCGGGGGAGGCTGTGCCAGATTTGGGAAGTGTTAACCTGACGGTATTTAAAGTATTTGGCTGGCAAGTCAGACATGCGTGCATGCACTACTACAGCAAAGCATTGTGGCAGCCCCTGTGCGCATCGACAACCTGCTCTGATCAAGTTTGTCGCCGTCCTGCTGCGCCGTGCCTCGCCACGCCCGCCGTGGGCCCTTAGGCCAAAAGAAAATTTTTATCGTGGGCGATTGGCATCTCTCGCCCTGGCCGCCGTGCGAGGTTTGCTGGCATCCACAGCAAAGCGTGTGTTGCGACGGGAGTCAGGCGACTTGCGGTCGCGAACAAGGCAACTTGCAATGAGGCTTGCATGATGCAAGTTGCGTCAACCGATAACAAAGGGCGCTTCGACGGACCCAAGGCGCCAGGCACGCCCAAGAGCCAAAGGAACAAGGGCCGACCGGCTTCAAAACCATGGCAAACAGTGGCACGGCGCGAAGCGGCGGCATAGCAGAGAGCGTTGCAGCGTCGCGCCATGGCAGCTGTCATGCCTCGGCGGCGGGAATGGCCACCCGTGTTTGCCACAACTGCCGGCCCGACAGGCTGGAGGGGATGCAAGCTGCAACAGCAACGGTAGGCATGGCTGACGTTGGCTCACAATAGCGCTTTTGTGCAATCGCGCCTATCCAAATGGCCTATAAAGCAAACGGCTCACAATGTGGCAAACAACTTGGGCGTGGGGGCCCGGCGGCTCCCCCACTCCCATGACTCTAGAGACTGGAAGGGGACACAGGCAGGCCCTGGCACTGCCCCGCGCAGCTCTTGTGCCTCGGGGATGTTGCCCGCATGCCTGGTGGGCTCAATTATGTTTATCAAGGCAATGCATGGGAGTTGTTGAGAAACCATGGGAGATGGGGGCGGTCTGGGGGAGGTGCAGAGTAGGCACTGAAAGGCCACTTTTGTGGCAGGTATGGCTGTGCTTCCCCGCCACCTCAAGCCACTTGCATCGGCCATTGCTGTCACCACGGCTGGCAAGAAAGGGTGGCCTGCGATATGCCCACAAGCGCCGCAAGAAAGGTGCCTCATAGGTGCCCACTCCCACCACCCCTTGGGCACCTTGATTGGCCACCGCAGTTGCCGGGAGTGGGCTCCTTGTGGGCGAGGAATAGTAGAGACCGCCATTGTTGTGGCCCCGCCGGCAGCTGCTGGCTTCTGGAGGCGCTGGGGTCGCCCTGCCTTGTAGCTTAGCTGTTGGAGGTCAACCGGCCCTCTCCACCTTGGACGGTGGGCGTATATGGGGTAGTTGCTCCTGTGGTTCCACGGTGGGCCCAACGCTCGACGGGGATCGATCCCCGGGGCCTGCTGTCTACGAGAGGTGGCGGCGCAGGGCGGTGGTGGTTCGTTGGCTTGCGGGAGGCCAGAGAGTGGGCCAAAGAGAGTTACATGGATTCAACGCATGGGCGCGCACATATTGCATGCGCGATGCCCGATTGCGGGTCCATCGCAGTCACATCAAGACAAGACAAGTCAAGTGCATGTCCAAGCACATCGTCACCATCCACCGTTCACCCACGATCGACCAATTGTGCTCTAATTCCAAGCATCTAACACCCGACCCCTTGGCCCTAAGTACTGTAACTTCAGGAGGCCATATCTTCACCGTTTGTTAATGGAATTGGGCGTTTCAAAGTGCATTGGAACCAAGAAGCTCTAAATAACACCTCCAAAAGGTCAATTTTTCAAGATTCTTATTTCCCACTCCAAAAAATGTCAATATCTGCTTAACCCCAAGTAATTATGTCACATTACTCCCCTCTTGGGGTAGCTTTTGCCCTCGAAAGCACACTGTCCCATACTAGCGTCTTCCTCAGGCTTGTCCCATTTGATCATCTTCTAGAGCTTCCTGGCATAGGTACAATTTTCTACCAGTATCTAGGAGGCATTGTCTATACTCCACCCCATCCATAACACCAAAAACTCGTTGTGCCCCTGCCATTGGGTCCTGCCCATCTCCATCGTAGCAGCTTCTCAACATCATAGGGTCCATCAGCCTCTGG